CAGCAGGAAAAGTCTGGAAGCATATACACTGGAATGTTATGTTTTTATCTTCCTATTAATCATGTTTTGTATATTTCTATATTATAGAGATTATACTTTGATTAAAAATATTTTTTTAGTCTTACCACCAGTGTTCTCCCAAATCATTGAAATTTCTTGAAAAAACTAGTTGCTGATATGAGGCAGTGAATGACTCATGATTTAACTATTTCCCACTGTTGGACAACTTGGTTTGTTTCTAATGACTGTTATAATAAGCAATGTTTCATTAAATATCACATAAATATTTATACACATTTGATAAGTCCTTTTGGTAAATTGATGCAAATGTGAAGGCTTTAAAAACCAATGCACTGACACTGAAAAAAATAATATGTTGAGACAAAGAAGTTGGAAAAGCTAAAAGCAATACTGGACTAGCTAACACTGGACAAATGTTAACAGCTGTTGGATTAGGCAGGGTTTTTATTGTGGGACTTCCTAAAACCTTAGGAAGTGCACGAGCTAGTGCACGTGGTGAATTTAACTCTCAGAAGGGAGGAGTAGGAGGCATTTACAAAACTCAACTGAGCAACGTAAGGCCTCCTGTTCCAGGGACCCTGTTGGAAATGCAGGCCTTTTCCCACCACTGGGCCAAGCCCACTGTACCTATGACTGCTCCCACCTACATACTGCCAGGCCTGCCTGCCTTTCTTCCTCAGCAGCTCATTCTTCTGACCAAGTATTCCTCATGCCCTCCAGGTATGTGCTCAGATTAACATCATCCTCAGGGCTTCATCATTCCACTGCTGCCACATTCCAAAGAGCAGCTCTTGCTTTTCTGAGCTTGCTTCCTCAGTCCAGTTTGTTTGTAAGCGCCTATAGCAGGAACCATGCCCTTTGTACCCTGGTAACTCCATCCACAGCATATGTCCACCTGTACCAAGCATGTAAGCTTCTAGAACACCAATCGAGACAGAGAGAAACAACGGCTTAAATAAGAGTATTCTGATATCTAACATACAAATCATCTGCCCTGAGTAAGCCTAGGCATTGCCTAATCAGCTCTCCTACACTTCAACGCACCCATGTCCGGAATATGTGGGAGCACCAGCTCTTCAACAACCTGCTTCATTCATCCGAGGCAAGTTGACAGGGAATGAAAAGCAAAGGTGACACTAGAGAAACACCAGGGCAGCCAAGGGAGATGGAGTGAAATGTCCTGAGCCCAAAACAAGAGCCTCAGGAGCAGCTGAGCATAATTGACAGCATGGACTCAGGTGTCAGGAAACCGGAATGAAATCACGACTTAGCCACTCCCAAGCTATATGACCTGCAAGATATTTGGCATCTCCGCAGACATTGTTTTCCTTTCTGCAAAACGGGTATACAAACACCTACCTTATATGGTTGCTCTAAGGGTTAAATGAGATTACGCACACAGGAAGCCTAGGAATACCTCGCATAAAATGCTTTAAAAATGTCAGTTGTTGATATTATTAGCATCATCATCACTATCTCAAAGATTGTTACCTGCTTGACCTCTATCAGCTCTGACTTGCTCATTCCCATCAACAAGCCCTTCCCCATGACTGGTCACTCATGCCCTTGTTTTCTTCCTCTCAGCTCAGCATTCTCCTCTGCTCGAAACTCTGGCTGGTTCAGAGTCAGTACAGCCCATAGGAGAGTCCTCCAGGAAGGCACTATTACCTCGTCCAGGCTGTTCTGCTGGCAGGGGAAGGAGAAGGTGAAACCCAGAGGCAGGGACACGCCCTTCATGCCCATGTACTCAAGGAAGTCGGCAATGCACTGGACGATGTGGTCAAAGAGCTGCAAGGAGAAATTGGGCTCTGAGAGGAGGAACCCTGGCCCAGGCGTGCTGCCCCACCAGGGTCTGAGCACCAGCTCGAGGCCTCCACCCAGAAGAAACGCCAGCTCAGGCACGCACCCAAGCAAAGGCCAGCCCAGGGCCCTAGCCCATGTAGCCCTCCCCAGGACCATGGGTGAGCAGAGAAAGCACTGTCCTCCCAGGTGAGAAGTGGGTGTCTCCTGGGGTCCCCTCCCAGAGGTGCCACCCTGCCTCACCTCATCCCCTGTGCCATGCATGACCTCCCGCGGGATAGAGTAGATCTTGTTGTGCATCTCCACTCCACGTCGCTTCCCATTCCGCACGCGCACCAGCAGGACCCGGAAATTGGTACCCCCAAGGTCCAAGGCCAGGAAGTCACCTTTCTCTGGAAAATAAGCCCAGGAAGATGGTGGGTTGGGGCTGGAGAGAGTGACAGTCTAAACACCTTCCCCTAATGGGGAGCTCTCCCAGGAGGCCCTGGACAACCTCAGGGTGATGGACTGTAAGCTCCACCTAATGATAAAGAAAATAAAATATCCGGGGCCAGAACCCTGCTGGCTCCTTAGTGGTTCTCAAATGAATTCAAGTTGTGGGGCCCCAGGAGTCACAATGAGCTCCAGAGCTCCAGAACACAGGAAAGAAATGGTGATACAGTATACTCCAGAATATCCAGACACGCCACTTGTACTAAATCAAAGGCCACCTTATATAAGGTTCTAGAATACAGAAGGAACAAGAGTCCAACTCTTTAAAGGAAACTGAAGGGAAATTTTTCTAGAATGAGAAAACCCTCCTTTTTAGGACAGTCACAACGCCTATGTGTGTCACACACAGTTTCCATGCAACCCTCAGGCAGCCCTAAGAGGGAGGTATTGCATTCCCCTCTACGGAAGAGAGAGATCTGGCTGTGCTCAGAGCCACACAGCCAGAAGATGGTAGAGCTGGGACCGAGTCCCAGTCTCCAGCTCTGGAACCTGTACCAGCTGTACCACACTGGCCTGGTCAATGATCATTTTTCTGAATTGGGAAAAGACCTCCATTTCTTAGATTTCAAGACCTAGGGCAGGGGTCAGCAATCTTTTTCTGTAAAGGGCTGGGCAGTAAACATTTTAGGCCTTATGAGCCATAGTCCCTGCGGCAACCATACAACTTGGCCATGATAGCGCAAAGCAGCCATAAACAGCATGTAGGCAAATGGGCATGGCTATGTACTAATAAAACTTTATTTACAGAAATAGGCAGTGGGTCAGATTTAGCCCATGGACCTCAGTTTGCCAACCCCTGGCCTTATAAGAGCTAGCCCGGCAACCAAAATTCCTGATTTGAATCCCAGCTCTGCCATTTTTCTAGCTGTGTGAAGTTGGGCAGGTTTCTTAATTTCTCTGTGCCTAGGTTTTGTGCAAAACATAATAGCTTGTTAACAAACAAAATTAACTACTAATCTCTGTTAACAGTTAAAAATTAAATGAATTAATATGTGTAGAATGCTTAGAGAAGCATTTGACACATAGTAAGCATTCATTAAGTATTTACTATTATCACCATTCAGTTTTAGCAGAGGAATGCCTTGGTTGAGACCACTGAACACTAGAATTCCCCAGTACTATAGCTGAAGAAACATGGTCAACAGTCTGGCCTGAACGCCCAATGCTAAGGCTAAGGGAGTCCTCCCACAGCAATTGAACCCTGTGGTGAGCTGGGTGGCAGCCCTGCCGCATACCTGTGCCATCAGGGGTGGCACACACATAGGTGGGCAGCATCTTGACGGGGGCAATGGTGTGAGTCTCCTTGCTCAGACCTCGCTCCATTTCTACCTTCATCCTCCTCTTGACCTCCAGCAGCTGCTCACGGCTCAGCTTCAGAGGCTCCAGGGTCTTCTGGCGGGCTCGGTGTTGATCGGCCAGCCGGTAGGCCACTGCTGTCACCATGGCTGCCCCCTTGCCACTGCCGTCCTCAGAGCGGAGGAACCGGATGTCGCAGTCGGGCACCAGGCGCCGCACGGTCTTGTGAAGACGCTTGGCGAAACTGCAGTCACAGACGTGGGGTAAGAGGTGGGTGTCCACAGTTAGAGTCAATGGTACAAATGGTTGGGGCAGTAGCTCACCACCTCAGCCCAAATGACACCCTAAACATCCTCTCCCTACTCTTTCCCAAGTTAAGGGTCACTGTATAAAAGCTCAGATATTCAACTGCGACCACCCTGCTAAAAGGAAGGGTGGCCTTCTGGGAAGCCAGTGTCACCTGCATGCACTCACAGAAGACTCCTTTCCCATAGGCCACAGTTCCTTTGCCCAACTTATCAGCCTCAGGTGATTCTGACACCAACTACTATTCATGTTTGATCCTTCATTTCATTAGATGCTGCTTATGAAAGACCCAAAAAGGAAAAAGTCAAAATGCTCTTCTGGACTTTGGCCTCTCTTTGGCCCATTTCTGCCAACAATCCTAGAGGTGTCTGAACAGCTAAAGATAATAGGTGTGTTCAGCAAGAAATTCTTGTGTGGTGGCTGCTTGGAGCCATGGTCTCCAGGGCCTACTCCAAGTGTGGCCTATAGGCCACCAGCACCTCTGGGGGCTGTTAGAGATACAGAATCTCAGGCTGAACACAGACCTTCTGAATCAGAATCTACCTCTTAACAAAATCCCCAAGTAATTCGTGTGCAGTTTAAAGTTTTTGGAGCTTTGGACTAGGAGCCTAGGGAATGGAATGGCTGAGACCTTCCACATCTACCTTCAGTGAATGAAGGCCCATTGACCTGGCACTCATATTAGGTGAAAATGATGGGATAGTAAGGGGGCACAATTGAGAGAAATCCTTCAGGTCCCAACTGAAATTTGAGTATTTCAGCACTTATGACCAAGGGATCAAAACATGGAGGGCAGGGCAGGATCTAATCAATACCCAGGTGAGCCAGAGAAGCTGGAAATAAGAGGGTGCAGAAAAAGGGCCCCTAGAAGCCAGGAGAGCTCTGAGTAAAGCCCTAGTTGGCAGCCTTCAGAAATAGCCTCTACCCATGCCAAGGAAAACACACTCATAGCTCCCGCTTGCCCCACTGGGAGCTTTTATTCTACAAAGAACCTCAACTCTGTGGTCCATCTCCACCACCCCACAGTGCAAAACCGGGTTCCTGTGGAGTCAGGCCTCTTAGAGGCCCCGAATGCTGGCTCACTGGGGATGCTTCTTGTAGACAGAACCGTCCACCCCGATGGTGGAGCGCAGCCGCTCCTCGCCCTTGTTCTCCTTGATGCGCCGCAGGACGGCTGCCAGCGTAGCTGCGCACAGGCTGGCTGAGCGTGTAGACACGATCTGGCAGACCCGGTGAGTGGCCACACAGTCCTCCTGTGTCGGGTCCAGGCCCAGCCGCACCAGGATCTCGTGGGCCTTCCGGATGCCATCCTTCTCCCTGGGAAACAGAAACAGCGTGTGGGCAGGGGTCCACTCACTGTGGCCAGTGGGCGGGGTATGTGGGCCGACATAGAAAGCCCTCGGCTCCAGCAAACACTATGTCCCAGGGAGGGCAGACACCCACCTCACTGCTCTGTCCACCTGTGGGGGGGTGGTGAGCAGTGAATAAGGAGGAGAGGAAAGCACAAGCTGAGTTCCTCTCCCAGACACACACACACACACACACACACACACACACACACACACACACACACACTTCAGGTGCCCATTTTTCCCCCAGTGAGAACAATTAATTTTTCTCACGCACATCCTATGGGAGGACAAGGCCCTGGTCTTGGGGCTTTACGCACCAAGTTGTGTGTGTGTGAGTTTGCCTTTCTCAGGTTAGTGGGAATGGTTTCCCTCTGACCACAGGAACCCAGCTGTGGAGCCCATCTTATTTTCTCTCTATAAAGGCAGTCAGAGTCTATTGCACTTCACAATGGAGTCAGCACTGCTTTACCTTGCATCTAAAGATGGCGATAAAGGGTTGATGCTATGAGATTAGCCCTCTTCTTAGGGGAACTAAGAGCTACACAAATATGAACACGGTCATCCCCTCCAACTTTAACAAGTAGGTACAGTTCCTGCAAGAATTCCACTTAAAACAAAGTCATTTGAACTGTCTCACTGCTCTCTTTAGCACCAAAATCACCTCCTCTCCACCATCTGGTCCCTGAGACAAGGCCTCATCAAGCGACAAGTGGAAGTCTCAAGGACAGGAAACCAGGCCCAACACTTTGGATATTGTTAACTGAAAAACAAAAATCAGGCCATCCTCACTCCCACTCCTGCCACTCTGTGAAGATGTAGGTAGGCCTCAGCCCTACCTTTTGGAAATAAATGGGTCAATCTCAGGGCCATCCAAGGACCTATTTTTCTGTTATGCAGCAGGGGTCAGGACAGAGCCCTTTTTGAAAATCACCAATAGGGAATGAAATGTCAGAGCTTCAGGAGAAGGGAAAGGAAGTAGATGCAAGTGAGTCATTAAAAGACCCACAGGGAGCCTCCCGCATTAAGCTTAGGTCCCTGGGCCAGGCAGGAACACAAGTGCAAAAGCACGAGTCCCTGCATGGGGGCCAGCTGTCCCCAGCACCATGAGTCACTTTGGTAGTCAGCACATCCAAAACAGACAAGAGTGGAGACTATCTGGCCGGTGACATCTAGCCACAGGCCTGCCATGTGAGGCCCAGGCCTCACACTGGGTGAGACCCTCCTGCCATCCACATTTGAAGGATCAAGGGCCCATGCGTCTTCCTCATTCCCCGGCCACCTGTCAACCCTTCTGGGGTCCCAGTGAACAGAGAAGGACCCGAAGCTTACCCTTCAATATCTGAAACATCTTTGGTCTCAAAGTGGCCCGTGGCGAGGAGTTCAGGGCTGAGCTTCCCCCCAAAAAGCAGCTCCTCCTTGGCCATCTTCACTAGGATAAGCCTCACAAGCTCCCCCATGTACATTCCACTGATCATCTTCTCAAATCTGCAGGGAGAGACACACCAAAAAATTAAGTCTCTGCTGCCAATGAACTCACAACTTCCTTGTGGAAGCAACATGCACACACGTGGGGCTGATGCAGGACAAAGCGCTAACTTGTGTGGCACTGACTAGGAGTGAGAGATGTAGAGAAGTGATGGTATTTCCTTCTCTAGCAAGGAAATGCTCTTTTAAAATGAAATCTTAGGTAGAATCTCAATATTTATTTACAAGAGGAAAAAAAAAGGTCAATCTGATTAAATTTGGGGCACTGGGCCAGCAACTCATCACCTCACACTGTTCCTCCCCTTGCAGGCCATTTGTGGATTCCTGAGAAAACTGTGAAAACAACCTGGGGTGGGAGGATGATGAGGCAAGAGTAGAAGGACAGGTTGGGACAGGTGAGAAGGAGTACCAAGTGTCAGGTGGTCTTGGGAATATGGGAGTGAGACATGTTGGAAGTTTCCGAGGAGGAAGGTGACAGGATAGCTGAGAGGGCAGTTGGGTAATTTATTTTTTCAACACTAGGTGACACTGTTTTCTTTACAAGATCGTCTTTCTGGCTTAGATATGTGACAGGAGAAACCAAGCCCTTACAATTCTTTCTAGCAAAAAAGGCCCTTTCTTGGTATCTTAGAAAGGATCTAGGTCCTAGAGAGAGGAGGCACGCAGGGCCTTGGGGCACTAATCTACGCAGGCCTTCAGAGGAGGCCCAGAGCAGCGGTGTGGATGGGATTCCGATGTCACCTGGTGCAAACTAAAGAGAGGAAGCCGGGCCCTCGGGAAAGCGACTTGCTCAAGACCCAAAGCCAGGTATGGCAGAACCGGAGCTAAGTGGAGAGCTGGCAAAACTGCCTGAGCAGAAGGTATGTTTAAAATGTTTAAGCGCCAGCACAGGCACGCTGCCTGAGAGGTAGCCCAGCTTCAACAGTAAGGAACTCACAGGTCTGCTTCTGCACCTTCTCCAAAATAGCTGGTTCTATGACAGATAGGGGAGGGAGCCAGTGGGGCTCTGAAGTGTGAGTGCTTAAAGTTTTTATTTCAGTTTTTAAAAACACTTTGCTTCAGTCAATGTTTGGAAAATATTTATTTAGAAACATATAAAGAGTGAAAAAAAGTTCCTCCTCAAGCCCAGTAATAACTTCAGGGACAGCTGACACGTTGGTACATGTCCTCCCAGCATTTCTTTTTTTCTTTTTGAGCAGTTTTTTCAGTCCATGAATTTCTCACCAGCCATGGCAGACACAGCCAGTCTATGAAATGGACTCATGTTTCAACATGTGAGAGAAGCTTGTGACTTAAATAGACTGCTTTGAGGAAGCAAGGACTCCCCCTGTAAAGAAAAGGACTCTCTTTTATAAAGCTGGTTTATAGGTTGGATTTTCCTCTCCAAGCAGGGATTGGCACTAGAAGATTTCCTACAACCGTCACAACACCAGTAAGACCAGAGTGGGCATGGGAACTCCCTGGTGGTCCAGTTGTTAGGACTCCACGCTTTCACTGCCAAGGGCCCTGTTCAGTCCCTGGTTGGGGAACTAAGATCCCACAAACCTCGAAAAAAGACAAGAGAGGGCCTGATTGCTCAAAACGTTTTGTAACTGCCTTCAGAGCTTGCAGCAATCCCTGTTTCAAGATCTTTAATAAGGACATTGGGCAAATGTTTGTAAGAGTGAAATAATGTTTTGTAAGAATCAAAAGTAACTAAAGGGCTTCCCTAGTGGCACAGTGGTTGAGAGTCTGCCTGCCGATGCAGGGGACACGGGTTTGTGCCCCGGTCCGGGAAGATCCCACGTGCCGCGGAGCGGCTGGGCCCTTGAGCCATGGCCGCTGAGCCTGCGCTTCCGGAGCCTGTGCTCCGCAACGGGAGAGGCCACAACAGTGAGAGGCCCGCGTAACGCAAGTAACTAAAAACCAAGTCTGACCAGGTTGGAGAGACTTCAGGGGTCCAAAATGCTAGGCCCCTCCTCCAGGCCACTCCAGGATCCTGGCTGGACCACAGGTCCAGGGAAGGTGGCCAAATGGGCTCCTTAACCAACTTTTCTACAGGCCTTGGGTCTGGCTACGGCTGGAGCAGGAGGCCCTGGGACTGCTGCGACCCAGCCTAGCTCATAATAGGCAACGCTGCAGGAGTCTGAGTCAGAACCTCAGCCAGTAATTAGGAGCCAACTCTCACAGCTTCATCCCCTGGGCAGTGACAGAGCTGGGAACTACAAAAGGAGCTTTCAGATCCCTAATCTTTGCCATCTCAACATGACTTTTCTTATGTGGTGCACAAACTGTTTCTATGGACAGCTTACAGACTGAAGGTGGAAAGAAAGAGCAGGGCTGCATACTTAGAATACGAAGAATACGACCTTCTAAAATGACTGCTCTGAGAGATCCAGTCAAATCATTACCCATAATCTGTTTTGTCCGCTTGCTCTATCTTTTTTAGAGCTCTCTCAGCAACTGATAGTCACAATGTGTTAGGAAGCACAACATTCCCATAAAGCAGTGGGTGTCTTGGCAACTTTTGGGGGCTATAAGGTTGTAAAGTAAAAATGAGAACCACCCCCAGACCTGGCCAGCCCCCACCTCAGCTCTGGAACCCACCCCCTGAGCCCACCGCACACAGGGCGGCTGCTTACAGCTGCTTCCCGGGGTTCAGAGAGCCCATGTCGATCTCCTGGTCAAACTCCGTGCGGATGTCATCAAGCACGCCATCATCCCCAAAGGCTCCCCACTCCATGTTGATACACATACGACCCTCGTCACCCTCCACCATGTCGATGTGGCGCATCTCTTCCATGTAGCAAGCATTGCTGCCCGTGCCTGGACAAAACAAGGGACTGCTCGGCACCCACCCGCACCATCCTCCCCCCAAACCCCACAACCCTCCTAAACCTCTGTCCTGGGACCACCCAGGGTGGCTGGGATTCCTCGGTGCAGACTCGCAACATCCCAACATGGTCCAACCCACTACCACCCACAACTCCACAAGTCCTGGCTCAGTCCTCCAAAGTGACCGCACCATTATCTTCCAATATGAAGTATTCAATACAAAGGAACATCCAGGCCATGGACCCCTCCTCTCTTTGCAGCCCACCCCCGCAATCCATCGGCCAGCACTGCTCCTCACACCCAGTGCTCACGCACCCACAATGAGACCAATCTCGCAGTTCTGGTCATCATAACCACAGGTCATCATTGTCCCAACTGTGTCATTCACCACTGCCACAATGTCAATATCAAAGTCCTGCAGGGATAAAAGGGGGGCTTCTGACTTTCACTGTCACAGAAAGGTTACAGATGTGAAGATGAAGAGAAAGAGCAGTAAGACACACAGCTCAAGTGCAAGGCTAGAGCTGGAAACTGGGTCCAGATCCAGTCTAACAGCAGCATCTCACTTCCCACCCTGCTGGTCCTCATCTTGGAGGGCTTCGCTGACAGCAGCCCTGCAGTCTAGTTCACAGCCATCACTGCACTGAGAAGAGCCCGTCTTATCATTTTCTTCTCATTCTCTTTCTTCTTTTCTTTCTCTCCCTCCCTCCCAGAAGGTCTTGTCCTTCTGTGACAAGACCTTTATCATGTCCTTTCTCTACCTTGTTCCACCCTGATATCAATATCATCCCAACTTTCTCATCTGAAAATGATATTCGAGTCTTCTTCAGATTAAGAACTAAAGGGTTTTTCTTGTACCAAGACTAAGATTAGTTGTCCATCATGCTAATATGAAGACCCCAAAGGCATTTGATCATATATAAGATCACTGGCGTGCTAACTCTCTCAATATAGGTATGTCATTATGCAGCACACCTTAAACTTATACAGAGCTGTATCTCAATAAAACTGGAAAAAAAATAAAGATTATTGAGTAATATAGCAGAGGAGAGGAAAAGAAAACTTCTCATTAAGAACCACAAAAGATTCTCATGCTGATTTGAGGACAGACAGGGAAAGACTTCCGAGTGGGCCCAAAAGATTGTAAAGAGCCTCCAGACCCCAAGCTTCTGCCTCCCCATCTCTGCTGCCCTACTCACCCCTCTCCTCTGGATGGCTTTCCGGATCAGAGTAACCACATCTTTCCCTTCCACACCACTGGACTTGAACCCCTTGGTCCATGAGACCAGGAAACTCTGGAAAAGGACCAAGGAATATTGATTCCCCACAAAACTCAACCACACTCCTCATCATTAGGAGACCTCGTCCATGGGGCTAAACTAAAGTCATTACTGAATTTGTAAATTTCTTCCTGACTAGTCTAGGAAGGAGAAACTCTGTCAATGACCAATAAAGGAGACTAAATGAATGACTTATTGCCCCCAAGAAGTGGAAAGAGCAGGTTGTAGAAATGCCAAAATAAGACACTGTATCCTAACGTCATTAACTTTCAACGATGTCTATCATAACACTTTAGAACAAAGGAGTCCCAGACTAATATCTCACTCCTGTTTCCCGAAGAGGGATAAGGACAATGTGCAATGTATATGGTCCTGCAAATTGCCATTTGACAGTGATAAAGACCCCCTCTTCTCTGATACCCCTTTACCATCGCTCTCACACATACCTACACAAACTCTCCCAGAAGGACAGAACTCCCAATACTCAAACACTGTCCACTCGATCCATCACAGCAACCTCCTTTACAACCTCCATTGTAAAGGTAGCAGGTGGCTCAGAGTTCTTCCCAGTCTTCCCAGTCCAAAGAATGAAGCAACAAAAGTGTCTGAAGAACTCATCTTACCTCGTCTAGTTTTGTTTGGAGACAGGGGAATGAGAAGGTAAAACCCAAAGGGAGCTTCTTGTCTTTGATTTGTAGCTTATCCATGAAGTTGGCCAGGCATTCAGCAATGTGGTCAAACAGCTAAGGGCACACAACACAGGAAGATGAGCAGGGAGGCAGAATAGCTTAGAGATTAAGAGCATGGACTTTGGGCTCAGAAAGGAACTAGCTTAGCTGAATGCATGCAAGATATGTATCCCCTCTGAAGTTTTAATTTGTTCATCTATAAAAGGGGGGTGATAATTGTACCTGCCCATGAGTTACCAAAAGAATTAAATGAGTCAATACATATAAGGATTTAACACTAGTTAGTGATTATTAAACACTGTCTTCCACTTAAACCATTTATCCAAACCACTGTCAAAATAACTGCATTAGGCAGGGTAAATCATAGCCAAAGCTAATCAGAAAGTCATCGCAAGCCCTGGTAACAGAATATCCTTTGGTGGCTCTGTCAGAACCTCCCTTGACATGGATGCACAGCTGATTGTCTTACCAGAAAGGGCAGCCCATCTCACTGCCAAGAAGTATTTTAGCATCCCTGTCTCTTGTGATTGGGGGAGGGGATGGGACATTCTCTGTTAAGCATTCTATAAATGAACTTAACGAAAATAAGTAACTTTTATATTTTTCCTCCACTCTAGAAAACCAATTTCCTGGGGGCAATTCCAAGAAGTTAGTTTTGTTTTCTAACTTCAGTATGGAACACCCAAGTGAGTCCACAAAGAGCACTGAAGAATAAATAGGGTTTTATGAGTGGGCAGCCTCACAACCGTGACTATTCTAAGGAGGACACAAGGCCCCTAAGAAAAATCCTAAGCCTAAGAAATCATCCAGACTTTCAATCTGCCCCAAAGCTCACAGCCCCATGGCTTCCTTTTTGCCCACTCAGCATCCCCAAAGAGAAATTGGTGACCATTCCAGACACTTAGAGACTGAGGCCAGGAACATTCTGGTGCAAAAAGTAAGCAAAGGTCAAAAAGACTGAGGAGCAGACATAGAGAATGGACTTGAGGATGCGGGGAGGGGGAAGGGTAAGCTGGAACAAAGTGAGAGAGTGACATGGACTTATATATACTACCAAATGTAAAATAGATAGCTAGTGGGAAGCAGCCGCATAGCACAGAGAGATCAGCTTGGTGCTTTGCATCCACCTAGAGGGGTGGGATAGGGAGGGTGGGAGGGAGACACAAGAGGGAGGTGATATGGGGATATATGTATATGTATAGCTGACTCACTTTGTTATAAAGCAGAAACTAACACACCATTGTAAAGCAATTATACTCCAATAAAGATGTTAAAAAAAAAAAAAAGACTGAGCAGATTCCAAGGGCCAGGTTGACCAGATGGCAAAATCCAAAGGCCAAGGGAGGTGAAAGTGGACAACATTCCACTAAACCTGGGGTCCCCAAAGTGTGGTCCACAGCAGAATCACCATCATGTTACAAATGCAAATTCTAGGGCCCAAACCTAAACCACCTGAATCAGAAAGTGTGGTAGAGTTCCAGGTGATCCTGAAGCAGTGGTTTGAGAACCACTGCACTAAACCAAAAACGTGTTTGCATTTATAAAGGAACTGAGAGGCTTGGGGTGGCAGGGTAGATTGAGAGATGCACTGGCTCCCCAGATGTCTGGTGTATGCTCAGTAAGAGGCTAGAAAGACAAGCCCCTCATAGAAGGGGGCGAGCTCTAACTGAACTTCCCACATCGATCCTGTCTCTCTGTCTGATCATGTGCAAAATTAACCTCAGCTGATGCTGAAACTCTCAATTTCCACACCAAAACATTCTCAAGAGCAAACACTGGGCAATGACAGGGCTCTCTCACTAAGAGGATCTCCAATGCAGAGTGCCAACTCCCTTGAGCAGAGATCAAGTATTTTAATGTGGAAATAGGGTTTCTAGACAGATACTCAACAAGTTCTGTTCTGTTGGGAAGTTGATCAGAGACAAAGTTTACAATAGGGTTAAACAAATTCCCAGCACCTTCTTCCTGGTACTCTAGTCAAAATGATCTTTAGTACAATAGTTTTTATCCAAAAAGGGGAAGTTGCAGAAGCTGTGCAAAGAGATAAGGCCAATCATCAGAGATGGGGGGAGGGGTTGGAAAAAGTAAAATGGTTTCCCCTCATCCAGCCCTGATCACTGCTCTCTTTCCAATTGCACTACCAACAGGGGAAGGCAGAGAAAAAAAAAGAGAGAGACAATGAAGAGGCATTAGATAACATGTTGCCCAATACAGTAGCCACTAGTCATCTGTGGCTATTTCAATTAATCAGAATTTTTAAAAATTTAAAAAGTCCCTTCCTCAGTCACACTAGCCATATTTCAAGTGCTCAATACTACTTGTAGCTAGTGGCTGCCTCACTAGACAGCGCAGATATCAAATGGTTCCACCACCATGAACAGTTCTATTGGACAGTTCTGAGTTAGAAGAACCTACAGCTCTTTAAAAGAGGGTAAAAGGAGACCATCTGCTTCCTTTAAAGGAAGACTATATCCTTTTTGGTTAGCTGATGATCTAAGGAAAAGATACTGGGAGAAACAGCTAACACCTTCCTGCCACAAAAAGGCTCAAAGAGCATCATTTTATGAAGGTAGAAAGGTTTCCTCTTCCTTATTGGTCTGAGAATCTGTTCATTCCCTTTCCCACAGGAAACACCTTAAAAAATCTAAAGAGGCTGCTATTACCATTTGTAATTCACTGCTCTCATGTGGAAGTTCATGTGGCAGAAGACAGACTCTGTCCAGGGACCCACACTGCCCAGATTCACAGATCTTCAAAAACTTTTGCAAGTTTTGAGTTTGGTTATTTGGTCTTGATTTTAACTAAATTTTATTTTTTAAATCCATTTGTTTTCCTATAGTTAATTAAAAGATTGATACCTAATATTTTAAAAAAGAAAGAAAGAAAAAGGAAAAGATAGGGAAAAAAGCATCAGTAATTCCACCACTAAAATAGCAACAGTGAATTTCCTTCCAATCTTTTTACCAAGTGTTTTCTGCTGCTTTTAGGACAATAACATTCTTTCCCTTTCTTAGGATGGAATAAGCACCTATATTTTCTAGCTTTCTTTGTTTCATTTTTATATAGTATTTTTTTCCATTTATTTGAAGGATTCTTAATATCACAGTAGATTCATAGTTTCTTCCAGATGGGTCTCAAAGATTCTTTTGGACTAACACATTTTGTTTCAGTATACTGGAGCCACGTGACAACCTCAGTGCAGCTCAAATCCCACTGTCCCAGAGACTCAGCCTCCCGTATCCAACCCCAGCATTAAAACAAGGAGAACAGTTTTACCCTCAGGGCCACCCCCAAAGACATAAAAGGGTCTAAAGATATCTCCCCCATATGTCCTATTCATGGCCCAAAATTCCTTTCCCAGGTGGCCTGCTGTGGTGGGAAGAACAGTGCACTGGAAGTGAGAAGGTTCCACCTCCTCCAAGCTCTAAGGCTCAAGAGATGACCATGCAGGAAGAGCATCTTACTTAGATTTCATTTTCTCCATTCACTCTTTTATTGAGTACATATTAGGTATAATAAAATACAGCCGGAACAGCCCGCACTCAAGAGTGATCCCTATAGTTGTGAATGTCTTTGGTGATTCCTCTCCATGGACTGAGAGCAGCTGTAGTAGGAGTAGAAAGAACATCTCAAGGAAGCTTTTTTAGAGCAGGTGAAAGGGGATACCCAGGAGCAGAGAACAATGGCTGGACCTGTGGCCATCACCCACCAACAAGCCAGATACTTCTGGTGTGGTAGCAATGAGTGCCCCCCCTGTAGGAAGGCTCTCCTGGGAGAACTTTTGAGAGGGAGAGCCCCAGAGGGCCTGCCCTGCAGGATCTCACATCTGCATGAGCACCAGCCCCTTTGGAGAGTGCTTCCTACTCTGGAAGCAGGGGCAGGTAGTAGGGACCGTGGACCACCATGTTGCCTAGTTCCAGGAAGCACACATGGACTACATAATGTGGCCTAAAAAGTGGAGCCTCCTAGAGTTGGACAAACACAGACTCCTGTCATATGAATCTGACTTTGTGCCTTGCCTCTGGCCCCTCCCACCCCTGTAATCTAAGGCCAAGTCACTCAATCTTTCAAAGCCCGATTCCACATCTAGAAAATGGAGATAGTAGGAGCACCCAGCCTTAGGGCTAGTGTGAGGATAAAATGAGGAAATCTATACAAAGCGCTTTCACTCAGCCTGACTCCTGTCAGCTCTTCCTCTTGATGGTTGCTCATCCATTTCAATACAACATGTATTACTTTCTGTGGGCTGATATGTGTGTCTTGGTGGTCCAGTTGGACTTGAAGCCCTGGAGGGGGAGGACCAGGACTTTGATTCCCAGCAAGGATCAGTGGCCCAGTGTCTAGTAGATGCTCAACACATGTTTGGACACTATCATGACAGCAACTCCATCCTTGCTCGTTCTCTTCTAGCTATTACTGAGAAGACTCTTACTTGGATTTCACATTTCTTCTCCATCCACTCTTTTTATTGTATGTGCCGAGTACAAAATGTGACTCTAGAGATCACAGAGATATGGGGATGACTAAGCATGATTTGGGGCCAGTGTGGAAGCACACGGAGCCCACTGCAGTGCCAGGTAGCACAGACTCCCAGAAGCTGTATTTTAGTGTTTTCTCAACACACTCCCATTCCTGTGTGTAAAACCTCTTCTGTTTCAGAAAGCACAGAAAAGAGAGAGCAAATAACCAAAAAGGCAAAGAGGCAGGTTCCATTTCATGCAATGCTATGCTAACAACTGTGAGTCAGAGGGCTACAGAATGACAACCGTGGCAGGTGGCAGTGTCAAACCACAACCGTGTATTCTACTTTACTTGACACTAACCATAGGTGTCCAGGTATATTGGCCCAGCCTCCTGGCAGCAGGCTTTCCTCAATAACCAGTGCATGCAAGCACACCTCAAATGAGATGGAAAATCAAAATCCCTCCCACTAAAGCACATCCAGACCCTGGGGCCTTGTGCACACACTCCCTGCCCTCTGGCCATGTGCACCTCTCCTGATGGAGGCCCCCCACCTAGCCTCCAGGCATGGAGGGGGATCACCCAGCAAAGAGAGGACAGGGAATCTGAGCTTCAGGCAAGACCTCCCCCCTCCAGACCACAGAGAAGGAGCAGTATCTGCTCCTGTGGGGCCCAGAGCCCCAGTGGCCACCCCAAGAGATGGGTCATACCTGGGTGCCACTGCCTCGCATGATGTCCTCGGGAATGGCATAGATCTGGTTCTCCATCTCAACCTTCTGGAGCCCATTGTCTGTTACTTTCACCCAAAGCACACGGAAGTTGGTCCCTCCAAGGTCCAGAGCCAGGAATTCTCCATGTTCTGCAGAGAGATGGATCACTATTAGTTCGGGAAAAACAAGGTATAACTGTTTCACAGAGACCAAAACTTAAAACCTAAGAATCCTGCCATAAACACTGGTTATCTCTGGGTGATGAGGTGGCCAGCGGGTCTTTTTTCTACACACTTTTATGTATTGTCTGATTCTTTTTCTTAATGCTAAACACTTCTATATTACTTTCAGAATTCACGTAAAGAATCAGACAGTTTCACATCCAGCGATAGGGTGCCCACCCCCTCACAAGAGCTATTTCCCAAGGGCTTTCAGCCAAGTCCCCATCAAACTCACAGGGCCCATCAAGCCCTGCACCAGGAGAGCAGGCCTCAGGTTTTGGGGGGGTTTTTTTGTTTTTTTTTTAATTAATTAATTCATTTCTGGCTGTGCTGGTTCTACATTGCTGCGCACAGGCTTTCTCTAGTTGCATTGAGAGGGGGCTACTCTTTGTCGCAGTGTGCGGGCTTCTCAGTGGTGGCTTCCCTTGTTGTGGAGCACGGGCTCTAGGCATGCAGGCTCAGTAGTTTTGGCTCTCGGGCTCTAGAGCGTAGGCTCAGTAGTCATGGTGCACAAGCTTAGCTGCTCCGTGGCATGTGGGATCTCCCTGGACCAGAGCTCAAACCCATGTCCCCTGCATTGGCAGGCGGATTCTTAACCACTGAGCCACCAGGGAAGTCCCCCAGGCCTCAGTTTTGTTCTTCATGGCCCCAGGACACCCAGCACGCTGCTACAAGCTTGTGGCTCCCTGGGCCTTTTGCCAAATTGTAATCCCTAAACAAAATGTACTCTTTTATGTTTGTATACAGTGACAGCAACATCTCTCGTCAGGATGAGGGTCACATGATGGAGTGGAATGGGATCCAGCTGGCTATAAATTAAGAGACCTAGCAAATAAGTCAAGTAGGTGCCCCCACCAATAAAAGATCCCAGGTGCTGACTTAAGAGTATATGAGACAAGAGTCAGGCCACTCAGACAAGCCACAGGGCTGGGGCAGAATGGGGAGGAGGATACTCCACAGACACAAGTGGGTCAAGATCTTCAGGTGTCGCCAGGAAGGCACAGTCCAGTCTCTCCAGGAAATAAGCAGTGCAGAACAGGAAACATCCAGATTCCAGGTGATAATACCGGCTACAGGGACACGCGCTGTTGTACAGCACAGAATGGAAGTGCTGAAGAGGCTCGGAGGCCAGAGCCAGTGCTGGGGCCCAGCGGGGCAGGCAAGGACTGGGCAACAAGGCGGGCTCGTCCCCTCAGCAGCCTCTTCAACCAGTACTGCTCCACCAGTCTTCCAATGTCCTGCCGCACACCTTCTTGAAGGATACATGATTATTTCCGGGGGATTCACTTGTTGGCATGTTTGTCAACACTCGGCCCCTTTCCTGATGGGAGACTTGCCACTGAAGTAAGGGAGAATGGATCGGAGGGTCAGGGAAGCGCTCTGACTAAATGAAACAAGGAGTTATTCTGACCCACTTCCTCTCAGCGGCAATAACTGTTTGGCCCTGAGAAAAGCTACTTCTGCCCAGCTCCCTGAGGGCACTTACCCACACAGCCCCTACAGTCCAAAGGGGCAACTTGGGGTGGGCATCATTCACCCGACATTCTGTGGGGACTTGCCTCCACACAACAATGGCTTGCTGGTAACAATATACAGAGACTGGCTCTGGAGCCCACATTACCTGCATCAGAACCCCAGCCACATTTTGGCCGTGGCAAATTCCTGAGCCTCTGAGCCTCAGCTGCCTCATCTCTAGAGGAGGAACATCATACCTCATGTGGTTGAGGTGAGGGGAAGAGCAGATAATGTGCCTCGAGTAACCAGCACAGTGCCAAGAACTCAGGACACACTAAATAAGTACTAGAAACTTTCCATCCAGGCTCTCGGCAAACAACGCCTGACACCCACACTTAAAAGTCTCCCAGGCCCAGTATTAGGACTGCCTCTCAGACTGAAAAAAGTAAAAGCAACATTCTGAGGCGAGACTGAAGAAACCTGTCCAAGGAAAGCCATTGAAATCTTCTCCAGTGACTTTAGCGTTCCTCCTCAGGGGCACGAATTTTCCGTCCCTTCCCTGGCATCTGGAGGTCCCCCCAGCCCTCTAGCTACAGTTGTTAGATAGCTTGGGTAACCTCAACCCCGTCTGGGGAGACTGCCCCTCTTGTGGCCATGGATGACTTTTCCAGGCACTTCAGTTCTGAGCCTCCCCTGGTAGTGGGACATCAGCCAGTTTGTAGGGA